CTCAGTATTTTTTCTACATCATTGTTCTTTACTACTTGTTGTAATAAAACACTTCAACAATTCAACTTTGATGCAAGGGCTTATCCTATTTACTTTTACACAAATGATGGATAATATGTTAGAAGAATATTTTTAAGATGCATAAAATTGCTTCAAAATCCTGTGCACTTCCTCATTTGATCAGAATTTATACCAGACTGTGATTTTTAACCCATTTAAACTCAAACCTTTACAAATACTTAATTCCCAGTGTATCACAATGTATCATGATACACTTTAGCCCTATTTTCACACCTCTAGACAATTGCAATTGCCAATGTAGATATTGTATACTTTTCATTTAATATTGGCACAGGTTTTCAGTTATGCAGTGCTATTTTTTTCTTAAGTATGTAATAGTCAATAGACAGTTTTTGTTGTGTTTTATGTCATAATTTGCATTCACTATTTTTAATGTAAATATCATACATTACTTCGAAAAAAAGTAAAAGATGTGAAGCACAATTTCATATGTGCAGATTAGATTTTGTATAAGGCTGTCTTGTTGACAGTTATTAGTCCAAAATCTCATATCAATATTTCAAAAATAGGTTATTCATAAATGTATAAAAGAGTTGGAATATGTGTGTAGGAGTTGTGCCTCTTGATATCAATTATAGTTTGTAAATTGTTCAGATTATTGCATAAGGATCATTTCATATAATGGTTGTTATTTTATCAAAAGGAGTTTTAATAGGGTACTCATATTCTAGCCATGGTGAGTAAAATCTATAACTCCAGATAATAACATTGTTAACCACCCAACTCAACTTCAAAATTAATTTTTGATGTTGCATTTTTTTTACTCAAAATATGTCATTAGCTTCTGATGAATGAGATCTTAGCTAGTTGAGAAGTATTAATTTCACCAGAAAATTTAAAAGTGACTACAATCAAAAAGAAATCAAGTTAATCAACAGAGTTGTAGCATAAGAAAAAGCTTAAATTCTATGGATTCAAAAAGAACAGTTCAGTGGATTTCGCATGTCAAATGTTCATTGTAATACCAGTAAAAATACAGTCTTAAGACATGACGTCTCATAGTCTTTACAATATGGTAACTAGCTGTTTTCCACTAGAAAAGGGATTTTGAAAAGATTCATTAATTAAGGTGTTAAGATTAGATATATACATATCCAGTATGTATACTTTTTTGGGGGTACCAGGTATTTCACGTTGGGAACTAAATATATTTTAAAGGTTAAAACTCTTATTTGGTCATCATTGAATCAACAGTCCAGTGTTACGACTGAAATACCAGCTGTGTACAAACCGTGAATTTTAAATTAAGGTCTTCACCATTTTTAATTATGGTAACCAGATCTTCCTCCATTCTGACATGAATACTTCTTTAGACATTTAACTTCAAAATCATCTGCCCCACCTGGCAGACTATAGTTTGTTCATAACAATTAGCTTAATATTGCACCAACATGCATAAAAAGTTATTGTTAAAAAAATAGCAACATCAATATTGCCATTTTGGATCAATGTTGGTATTGAAAGGAAAAACTCAAAAAGTGTATCGAAGATTGTGTTTGTTTTGATTGTCGATCAATGGTTAAATGATCGTTTTCTATGAGGATTCCTAATTTGTGTTCTGTGACTCGGATCATGTTTGTGTTGTTTAAACAATTCATCTGATAGTTTTGAAGTAAAGGCTAGCAATTCAAGATTATGGTCATCGTATGATGTGACACAGGATATACACATATGGATTAAGCTTACAGAAAAAAAAAGTACCGCTGATCTAAGAAGCAGTGGATGTTATCTTTAAAAAATAATACTGAATATGAAAGATATCCAACCAATATTTTGAAGTGTTTGCAAACAATGGATTGGACGTAAATAATGTTGCCAAGAAAAGCCAGGTAATTTATGCAATTAAGTTAAATAATTACAATGATGTAGTTGGAAGGAATAATTAATTTAATAAGGTAGTCAGGTGCAAGGTTGAATGACTGGAATTAAAATCAGCTTGGCCCGACTAGAAGAAGGTTATGAGTAAATGGATTGGTGATATCCTATTTGTAAATGATCAGTTTTTATTCGCCATTTATGTATAATGAATTAACGGTTGATTGATTGGTTTTTGGAGCTTATTGTCATTTTTTAATGGTGTATGAAAGCTGTCAGACAAGTGAACAGAAAGTATGAAACATTTAAGAATTAATTTCTATTAGAAATGCCAAACTACTGGTAAATTGAGAGGTTTTTATAGGATAAAAGAAATAAATGTATAGTTTTAGGATGGGAGTACATTCCTGGCAAGTTATATTGTCTCTTGTCAAGTTCCTATATGAATCTCTTAAAATGCACTATGCTTTGCAAGAAAAGTATTTTTATATACTGTATGTTACATGTAAAGTACAGCACCATTAAAAGTTGGGGTATGTCAGATTCCCTATTCCTGTCTCAGTATTCTGTAAACCAACTATTATTTGCATGCAGGAAATTTTCAGAAGTTTTGCAAACCTTCTTTTTACTTGTGAATATTTATCACTGCAAACGAAATCAGTTGTGCATTTATGTGAAATGTTTTCTCAGTCACAACATTTATCATAGCGGATGAATTTCAAACTTATGAATCGCAAATAAAATAATATTTGCCAGGCCCATAAATTATCATATTGTACAGGCCAAATATAGATCCTGTCAAATTCATTAAAATTGTTTGAATCCATATCTATATCACAAGGTAGAAAAGCTTTGTACTTTAATTTACTGGTGACATATCAAATTTGCCACAAGGTCATATCATAGAGGTCAAGGTAATTGGAGCAATTTAGGTTAAACTTTTGTCTGGCCCATAACTCTGAAGTTTCAATGTACAATATAACATAATTTTACATATGTAGTTCTTCTTACTTAATAACAGCCAAACACACTATTTTATCCTGAAATTAAAGTGTTCACTTACACAATGTATTACCTGAAGTAACTACCAGTATACTTATATGTATGTAAAACCAAGATTAAGTCATGTAACCACAATTAAGTCTGATATAGATGTTTTTTGTACATTTCTTGGATTGCTCCACATGAATTTTCTCCCCCCCCCCCCCCTCTCTCTCTCTCTCTCTGGACTATTTGGATTTCATTGCTACATGTATATACCAGAGACAGAAATTGCTGGAAATGCATAAGGCAATAAATATGATTGTCTTTTTCCTTGATGATGTGTTCAAATGAAAAATGAAGATTTTGATTAACAGTTCCCACTTGAACATCCCCATGCAAATTTAGAAAAATAATGGGTGTTAATAGAGTTCAATGCATGTTTGTCTTTAATTATCGAAAGCAAATACAATGAAAAGATGTGATATTTCATGTTTAGAGAGTTCACGCTTGCTATACTGACAAGGTTTTTTGATTAATGTGCTTTGGTATGAAATGAAAAGAGAAAGGTAGATATCCCAACAGATGATGTATCTTCTGTTGATACAATGAAAAGATCAAGCCTACAGACCATATAGGCATACAATGTATCTGTAAAATATCTTAAGCCTACAGACCATATAGGCATACAATGTATCTGTAAAATATCTTAAGCCTACAGACCATATAAGCATACAATGTATCTGTAAAATATATCTCAAGCCTACAGGCTATATTGGCATATAATGTTTCTGTGAAATATCTTAAGCCTACGGACTATATTGGCATACAATGTGTCTGTAAAATATCTTAAGCCTACAGACCATATTGGCATACAATGTATCTGTGAAATATCTTCAGCCTACAGACCATATAGGCATACAATGTATCTGTGAAATATCTTCAGCCTGAAGACCATAAATCTATAAGCCTTTGAGATACCTTTGTAGGATTTATCAACTCAATGAAGAATTCAATCAGCAAGCCTATTCTTTAGAAAAGTTAAACTGTGCTTTATTTTCATTAAACATGTCAATTTTATATGATCCTAGATAAGATGTAAAGAGACAACAGAAAACAATCCTACTTCTTCACCAAATGTCTAGCAAATATCTGTCATTTGTGTTTTTGAAAAAAATGAAAACAAAATTCATATAATTTTTTGCTAAAAATTAATTGCTATAAATTGAGTACACAATCTAGTGATTTTGCCAGACTGGAAAATTGATCTCTGCAGTTAAACACTACTTTGGAAATTTTTCAGAAATACATGTATTTCACTGTAGAAGAAACTATCTTAACACCCTTTATAATAAAAATATTCAGTCCTTAAGTACCTGTGGGTATAAAAAAGTTGATTTATCTCTTTACATGTATATATTCTAAATTTTAAAGTTTTCCCCTTTACAAGATTAAGATAATGCCTCCCAACACCATAAATACACAAGTTTACATACTTTTCTCAGATGGAAGGATTTAAATCTACACTCACAAAGACAATAATGATCTTAGATGACAGATTTTAAGTCGCAGTTCTTTTCATGTATAACAGATATGGGTCAAAAAAGCTCTTCTGTTTTATTATTGGCAATGCACTTCATTTTGCCCAACATTCCTGTAGAAATTGACATTGTTATCTTTTAAAATAATCAAATGTTGTATTTAAATTTTCCAGCTTTGAAAACGTCCTGATCGCTGGGGAAATATGGGAAACGTATTAGTTATGGCTCCAACGTTTTATTAATGAATAATATAAATATCTGAGTTGATCCGACTATACCAAAGCTGACTAAATATTACCTTCCAAATCAGGCCTTTAATATCTGATTATTAAAAAGTAAAGTACTGCACAATGGTTATTGGACTCACGCATGGCAGCCGTAATCTGATTTCCAGGGCAAAGACATTGTTTGAAAATTGAAATTGTTTCCTTTCAATTTCATTTAAAAAACTGTTCTTCCATCAGGTATCAAGGCAGTACATGTTAGAGAAGATATTTTATTTCACGTTAATTTGGTATGATTGGTTTGAATTTGTATAGTGTTTCTATGAGTGTTTAATATGTGAACATGAGAGCAGTTTTCTAAAGTGTTATGAAAGTGGAGTTTATTATTAGTGGATTTATGTGAAACATGCTAGTGGCAGCGGCTCCTACTGTTGAAGCAGATCCGTACGGGGGTAACCATAAACTCAGGTATATTGTCTAAAGAAAAATTTCTTTCTGTGTTGGAATATACAGATGTTTGTATGTGATAATATGGAAAGGATCTTTGAGGGCAACATAGCTTGTGGATTAATTCAATTTATCGATCCAATTAACATGATAATGAATATTTATCAGCGGTACAGTTACCTCCATAATAAGTTTTCTTCAACTCATGCTAGATTAATTTTTTTGCTTCATTGATTTTGAAAAAAAAATTGTATCTACATTGGCTTGACTTTAAGTATACAGGTGACGTATCATGTTAAACAGGAACAACCTCTTACCTTTGCCAAGAAAGTTGGATGGAGATTATAATTTATTTTCTGTGTAGTTTTTGCTAGTGATTTTATTTGTTATATATCTTTGTTCAATATTTTTCAGTGAAATTGCAGACAAAGCTATGCCTTCTTGGTAAAGAGAATAACTGATTAAGATAAATAATGGTTAAATTTTGAAGCAATTTTTGGTGAATTAAGTAATTCTGACCAATAAAAGTTGGGTTATTGGAAATGTGCACCCCCTAAATGTCCCTTAGTTTGTATTTAATACATAATATCAAGAAATTTGCCCTTTTGATATATCTGTTGATGTAAGTATATTTACCTGGTCTGAACAAGGTCGTAACATAAGTTGATTTTGCTCTGTAAACCACTTAACAGTGACAAAGTAAAAGTGTATGTTAAATATCAACATTGCGACATATTAGCCCCTAAGAGACAGAGCTTTCAGTTCAACTTTAGAAATAGGATTAAAATCTAAAGATTGAAAAAAATGCTTCAATTATAAAATACCTAAAAATGACATGATCATACTAAAGTTATTATTTTAAAGTCATATTCTTTTTTATCTGTATGTTCTGGTATACTATGTACTTTTTAAATGTCTTCAAATTAAAAGTAAATGCAATTTTTATGCTTCAATCCATACTTCTTCATCTGTAACTGTAATATGACCTGAATATATCTTAGCATCTTTCAGTATGTCAGCTAGCTGTCATCTGTTGTTAACAAGCAAACCTTAATGTCATGAAGAGTGAAGAGGTGTGATACTTTTCGTCATTGTCATAACACGGGAATTAAATATTTTAGGTGAAGTGACAAATTGTCATTATGTATATGGTAGATATACAGGTAAATTGCAGTCAATGATGTACCTATAATTTTTTTTTTCTTACAGATGGTCTAAAACAGCCCGCAGCCTCCCAGAAAGTACCCGTAGGCCACAGCTAGCTCGGGAGTGGACCTTCCATTCTGTGGAAGCTGAGGATTTTACCAATAATGTGGTCCCTTACAGACTCCCCAGAATAGACACACCCAGAGAGGCCTTCGGCAGATTTAATGCTGATCCAGATGATGTTTGGAGTCGTTATGGTTACCAAAATCAAATAAAGTATGAAAGAATTGGTGACATAATGGAATATTGATTTGAAATTTAAGTTTTCCAACATTAAAATTTTCTTAATTAGTATTTAAATCACTATATACTCTTCCTCCATTGAAATGAAATATATAGAGATAACGAACAGCATTCAAACTCAAAAGTCCATTAAAGCAATACAAATCAGGAGCAGAGTAAACACAGACCTCTAAAACATCAGAGGTGGGATCAGGTGCCACGGAGGAGTGAGCATCCCCTGCCGACCGGTCACACCGGCCGTGTGCTCCTTGTCATGATCGGGAAATAATGGAAAAATCCGTTGACAATTCAGTGTGTAAATAATGGTCTAACAATTTGTATGAAAACGTCAGCATTTGACTTAATGATAGATTGTATTTGCTGACAAGGTCATTGTAGCGACCATAGAACTTAAGAAATGATGACTTTAAACGAGACTGTTGATACTCTTGTTTCATTAACTTGTTCATCAATAACTCATCAATAACTAAAACCTTGTTTTAGAAATTGTTCATACATAGAGCATGCTCTTGCATATCGAATCAACTGAGAGATATAAACCCCGTAGGCAGGTGATTATGGTATACTGCTGCATAAGTAAGGGAAGTTTACGATTGAAAAGTTAAAGTCATCACATTTATCATAAAGCTTTCTTGTTAGATTACCGTTAACGTCTTTTCTAGTAAAATATCCAAATATGAAACAGATGTGTCAGACTGTGGTATCTTTTATTTCAAGCTCACTGGGATATATCATGTCGACATATGAATCGAAATAACTATTGTACAGTTAATTGATAATACATCGTCGATATATCTAAATGTCGAGTTGAAGGCCACAGCAAGTGTTTTCTTCTTCTCATTATAAGATTTAAGACTTAGTCTACTTAATATGAGTAAAATTTAAACATTTGCAAATTGCTCAGAAAACTTAAGCCATGCATCATATATACACATCGCTGTAAATCGTCGTAATTAACAATGAGTTCAATGTCACACTTAGCGTAATTATGTGATATCAATTAAATACCTAAACAGAATAATTAATAAATGCATGTACTAGTGTGTAATTATATTATTTATTAAAAATGTCCGCATCAAATTTCATATGATTTAATGTTTTTCTTGTAACACCTGGAAATCCAATTTTATTTTTTGTTCACAAAACACAGTCAACGAAAATTACTTCCGTGTTTACAATACCGCGACTTTGACGTCGTTTTCTGCGCATTGTGACGTCAAAAGATAAGGGCCCTTTTCTCATGACGGCAGTCATATATGTTTAAAACACCCTGTACATTAGGTTAGATGTACTCAGTGTTGATGTTTATTGTTTAGCTTACCTGGGCCTCAGACTTGAGTGAACAAATCTGTTCATAAAATGTTCAATATCTGTCTTTTATGTGTTGCATGATGTTTTCCAAGTCTTATTAAAGTTAGTAGCATAATACTTGGTTTCATTTACCAGGTTACTTTGTTGTATACTTACCTAAAATATGGCATTTTTAATTCATCTTTGACCATTTGATTGGTTTTCTTTTAGATCACAGAGACAATATATGCTCAGTTAGTACTTTTATAAGCTGATAATTAGATCCTGTACCACTTACAAAAATATCATAGGTATAAAGATATGAAAACCTTGTGAAATAATATCTCTGCTAATGAGTTCAAGGCATTTGATTTACTATTTTAAGAAGATACAAAAAAGAGTGTATTATTAATTAAGGGTTTTCATTTCCTGAAAAGAAAGCAAACTAGACATGTAAAGTGCAAAACACAAAAGGAAATGAAGGCATATTTCTTTGTAGTTATTCTTTTATCAATACAAGTTGGGTGAGAAATGGCATTAGGAACAGTATTGTGAGCTTGTCTTATGTCTTTTTTTTTTTTTAGAATCCCTGGGGAGCTGGGTCCAGTGGTGCGGATGCTGAATCCTCCCCAGACATACGCTCAAGCCGAGAGGCAGATGAACCTTGTGGTGCCTAAATTCAAGAACGCTGCTATCACCCCCACCATGCGCCCCATTCATTGGACCCCTCCACAGAAAGATATTGATGATGTACAGGTGTACAAAAGGTGGGTGGACAGCAAAATCATTCACTTTTGTTTTCATATTGAATCAGGTGGTTCTCAGTTCCCAGTATGAAAGTTTTGAGTATACAGCAAAACACTCTTATAACGAACTGCCAGGGACGGACAATTTTGCTTTGTTATAAATGTAATTTGTATCCATCAAGTTTACACTATATTTTAAGCCACAGGGAATGAAAATCACTTCACTGTAATCGTCAATTCATTATAAGCGTGTTCGACATAAGCGTTTTTTACTGTAGTTCTGTTCAAATATTTTCAGCATTTAGTTTCAGAAAAACTGTGCAATGTTTGTTGTTGAAGCACTATGTTAAACACTACGCTTGTTCTCTCTTTCCACCTCTACCTCCTTCCCCCTAAAAATATTTTAGAAAACTTGTAAAAAAGGCAGCCTTATGAATAGCAATATATTAAGTTGAAACAGATAATCCATTTGGATTCATGTACTTGGTATATCAGTTAGGTAAGTGAAGTTGAATGAAAGCTTAGGAGATCTAACCTAAAATTTTGAAACTAGCACCAAAGTCTTTCTTTAATGTTTCTTGTGTTTAATAACTATTTTAGATATGGATTTAGAGAATTTGAAAGTATTCCAAGTCTGTGAGGGAACTCAGAGTTATCCCTCATGAAATACATTTCAAATACTTGAATAATGGCTTATCTTTAGATTGATTCTTTTACAGAAAATTGCTGAGGTACAAGTATTGAGAGCTTCTGTCTCTATTTCCAGGACTCCCTCTCTCTTGATTTATTTATTTACACAATTCTTTTAAGTATGACAATCCTAAATTAAAAACTGTATACATGTATAATTATTATTCAAAATATTCTGCAAATTATTATTAATCTATCTTTAGCAACCGTATTATTGTAAATCATTTTGTAACACCTAAAGCTGTTATAATATCTGGGTTTTTTTTTTTATCTATTTCACCATATTATCTAATAGTACAAATAGATTATGTATTCAAGCACTATGGTATCTGGTGTACCAGTATTTACATGTATAACAGCTGTATAATCTATAATTCCTTGTTTATTTTGGGGAAAGAATTAAAATTATATGTTTCCCCCTTTCTAAATATATACCTTTTTTCCTCTTCTGGTTATGTCCCAAAGCAATGTGTGCTCAATATGGTTCAGTTGAATGTGTCTTTTTCTGAACGTTTGCTCAATATGGTTCAGTTGAATGTGTCTTTTTCTCAACATTTGCATTACTGTTTGTAGTATATGAGACTTTTTTCATCAATTTTGATTTAATTTTAGACCAGCCATTTCAAAAATTAAGTGTTGCTTAAATATGTAAGAATATGAAAGAAATAATGTCTGCAACAGGATTCGAACCAAGGTGTATGATACTCCTAGCTGTTATTGTGTAAGCAATGGTACTTTAAGGATCTGAGCTAATCCTTCATTTATAAACTGAGCAGAAGAGCTAACATGATGCAAGGAAAGGCACTCAGTATGAGGGTTGGAATTTTTTTTTCTTTGGTTATTTTCACCACCAGGGTTCACCTGCTCTAGGCCCAAACTTTGCTGAGGTAATCTTTGTTTAAAAATGTTCAAATTTAGGTATATGTACCAAACTTTTTCGGTAGGCCTACTCTAAAGGTTATCTTGACCAAATTATCACTGATGAAAATGAGTCCTAATTTATCAAAAACTTGTGTCCTGCTATATTTAGAAGACAATTGATTCCATCAAAATAAACCTTCAAAGGATAGATACAGTTATATACACAAGTTTTCTCTAGGCCATAGCTTATTGTTCCCCAGAAGATACTAAATGTTAGCTTATCTCATCATTTAGATTGGTCATGCCTGTCTGATATGTATGATATACAGACTCTTTCTTATGTTAGAGACAGGCATAACTAGTCTACTCATCAGTTTGAGCTAGTGTACCTTAATTTTTCTGGTCCCAGACTATTCATATTTTCAACTTTAGCCCTAGATAAACTTGCATATCAGATCGCTATATTGGGAACATAACTACCTTGAGAGAACTCATCTAATAATTTTATATTTCCTTCTTTACACCACCATGATTTTTGACTGGCCAAGACAAGTAACATTTTCAAACTATGGTATCATTTGACTTGAAATTCCAAATGACAACTAAGTGTTTGCTTGGCTGAGGTAGTGCAACATCTAAATAAATCAAGATAATCTTGTTTAGTCATCAAGTACCGGTATTAATAATATGCATTTTTTTTAGTATTAAACTTGAGAATAAACTCCAAACCTAAACCTATTAATATTGATTGTAATGTATTAAATTGTTGAATACTTCATACTTTCAAACTTTTATGTTGCAGCATGATCTCTGCTGTCCGTAACAAGCATTTAGAAATGGAGGCAAATCGTCCCGAGCCTACTCCATCCCCCATCTCACGCTGTGACTCTCCCGCCAAATCTGTCAAAAGCATACACTGGATGTTGGGTAGCAATAAGCACCCAACATTTGACGTAAAGGTAAATTGTCTACATTTTTACAGATGTTTTCAAGCAGTCCCCAAGACCAAAACTGAGAAAAGACTTACTTGGTAATTAAAAATTTTGATTTTGAATTAAGTTTTTTTTTTCACATATGTGTTTCAAAAATTGCATGTTTGGACAGTATTTAAATACAAACACATGTTGAAAATTTTGTTTGATTTTCAAATTTATTTTTGAAGTTATCTTCATTTGAAATTTGGCCGTTCTCAGTTTATGGTCTTGAGGCCTGATTCAATGTGCATAGTTATTTTGATTGCAGTCTCAGACATTTCAGTAAGTATTGTGTAAAATGTATATATAAATGTTAATTTAAGCACAATTTTTAACTCAAACTCTTTCATCATTTGAATGGAGAACTTTGCAAATACACACTTACTGTTACTAGTATTATTGATAATATTTGTGCAAATTTACAAATTATACATGCTTATAAAATTATCTATAAATCAATTTTTAGCTCACTTGAGCTGAAAGCTCAAGTGATCTTTTCTGATCACCTTTTGTCCATCTGTCTGTCCATCTATCTGTCCATCTGTCTGTAAACTTTTCACATTTTCAGCTTCTTCTCAAGATCACTGGGCCAGTTTTAACCAAAGTTGGTACAAAGCATCTTTGGGTGAAGGGGAGTTTAAATTGATAAAATGAAGGAACAAGTCCCCTTACAAGAAGAGATAATCAAGAAAAGACAAAAATAGGGTGTGGTCATTAAAAAATCTTCTTCTCAAGAACCACTGGACCACAAAAGTTGAAACTTATGTGGAAGAATCCTGGGGTAGTGTAGAATCTAAATTGTTCAAATCATGACCCCCGGGGGTAGGGTGGGGCCACAGTAGGGAATCTAAGTATTACCTTGAATTATATAGAAAAAAAATCTTTAAAAATATTTTTGCGACACTTTATTTTCACGAGATAGCTATTTGGTATTTATTAACGAGACAAAATTTTCGCAAGCTATGGTTTTTATCGTTTATAATCCTTACTAATACAAATATAAGCGAGAATGAACTTTTTCGCGAGCAGACAGACTCTCGTAATTACACGAAAATAAAGTTGTCGCAAATAAAAAGTGATTTACAGTTTATCATTGCTCCACTTCCTGATTTCAATGAACAGTGTTGGTACAGTTTCTAAAAATAGAATATGAAAATTCTTCTTTTAAAATGTAGCATCTTCTACAATTTTTCTCTGACCAGAATGAAATCTTGCTACGTAGAGTACAATAAACTTCATCAAGGTAAAATTAGTTTTATCGTGATAAACCACATAGTAATTGCCTTACATGTAACAATTGAGAAAAAAAATTCTAAAATAATTTAGCATGGTTTTTATTGTTTTATGTCTGTTGAAAGTTTTGTCACTTTTGGAGAAAAATGTAGATGTAGATTGGAAGAAACAAATAAGAAAAATTCACTTATAAGTGTAACTTTTCTTCTTTATTCAGACCATAAGAGCTCATCAAAGAATCCTGGTTGATTACTGTATACATTTAGTCATATAGAAATTAGGACCCTCTATACAATAAGAAAAATGTTTTTTTTGGACAATGCGGAAAAAATATCATATAAAGGCTTAAATATTAAGTTTTCTATTTCATTGCCAATGCCGGGTACCAGTCATTTACTCCGAGGAAAAATGTTCAAAGTCAATGTATCAGTGTTTTCCTTAAGAACCGGCTACCGACCAGATTGACCGCTTCAATTAATAAAAATGCCGCTTTGAAATGAAAAAATCAAAATTTAAATTGTTGTAAGGTCCACAGAGATTTGTCATAAAATTCAACCCAAAGCCTGTTACAATTGATCTCGAACCCTTTGAAATAAAGGGAAAACACTGATGTATTGGTGAACAGAAATCACTGTTACTATAATACTTAAATGGGAAAAGCACATGCAAATAAAGTGTTCCATGAATTGATCTTTGCCTGTAATGTTACAAGTGCTTGTATTGATTACAAATTTAGTAATACACAGTAGATTTCAATTTGTTTCAATTTAGATCTAAAGGCAGATCACTCTAATTGCATAGAAAACCATGGAATTAGAACTCTTTTATTGTGCATTAATGTACATGTATAAAGAGTTCTGAGGTCTAAAATAATATGATATAATTTTACATACATGTATATATATTTTAGGGTAGAGGACGGAACCAGGGGCCATACTCCAGGGAGTTCACAGTTCGATGCACCGCCCCAACCAACTGGATGAGGATGAAGTGGGGGAGGGCCAATACAGTATATCATTGATGATGTCACTTCCTGTTTTCATCACATCTGTACAGCTGCACTTACAAATTTTGGACCTTTGACCTAGTTTGCATAATATTAAACTTGATTTTGTAAACAAAAGTGCTTCTCTGAGGAACTTCAGGAATCTCTGATAATTTTCATGGTCTTTCAATTGTTGTATATCTTGTGTTGATTTTTGTAGATTTATAAAAATTTTGTCTAGACTAGGGTTGGATATCATTAAGGAAAAAATTGTGTACCACACAGGTATTTTTGAAACGATCTGTTCTTTTTTTCGAGACCTTCATCTGTCAATATATTTGATAAAATAATGTAAAAGAAAAGAAAAAATTTGGAGTCGGTACATACCGGTAATATATATATCCAGTCTACCTCATTTCATTAACAAGTGTAACTTAACAAGTGACATTTCACGTTAAGTTCAATCTCATGGTTGTTAAAACAATTTTATTTTCTTGAATAAACTTGAATGCATTAAATATGCAAAGGAGAAAATTTAATACCAATATTGGTACTGGTATGAAATGAAACTGTATTTGACTGGTGATACGTTTTGAAGCAACTATTCAGTACAGTACGGATACTGAGTACCGGTGTGTCCAACTCTAGTCTGGATTAATTATGTATTCTAATATAGAAGGTTCTAGTGATATTCTAAAAAATGAATTCCTTTCTATTTTCTAGCAATCTGCCCATATATTTTTACCAACCACTAGCAAAAATAGATATGCCATGATAGTTTAAAGTTTGATTTAATTTGGATACTTTTAAGTTTTAGATTTAATTAATATATTTGAATACACAATCCAATGAAATTGTTTATACTCCCAGACTTTGAAACTCTGCCCATTTGAAAATGAAGAGACTGTTAAGTCAAAGACAATCACGATTTTAAGGCTGTACATAACGAATGACCATGTCTGTTGATGTAGCATCAGCTGATATCGGTATAGTATAGTGTAGCTAGATGATATGATATCAGTAACATACATGTTATCAGTAACATACGTGTTATCAGTAAGTATGACATAGATCATACATACTATTGTACATGTGTATAACATATCACATGTACCTTTATTTTGCTATGTTAAACACTGTTAAAACTGTGATATTGTATTATATAATTATTTAATTTATTTTTCAAAAAACTAATTGTTTTGTTACTTGAAAATGTGAAAAATATGCCATTAAAATGGTTTGAGATGAGATTTTTAGTTGTTGAAGTAAATTTTGTTCTCAGTGCCTGTAGCAAGGTGTCTTGACAGATTGGTTGGTCTGTGTTGCAAATGTGTTTGAGTGTGTGGATGGTCAGCAGTTAATTGCAACTATAGTTTTTTTTTTTTCTGTTGCTATATTAGACCGAGGTTTAACTGAAATCAATCTGTTTTATAGTACAGCAGACTTTATATTAATTTTAAGATTATTATGGTTTGTATGTAAGTCAGTAGTTTGTTTTTATTGATTATTTTAAACACTGGAGAATTATATTCTACATGTATACGTCATAGTTATGATTGTTAAAGATATTTCAAAATGTATATCTTAATTATTGAAGAAAATATTAATTAGTGTAGATTAGCTTATTATGAATGCTGAAATTAGTGTTAGTTTAGATATAAAGATGTACAAGTATATAATGTACTGTACAAGAGCTTTTCCTATCTGTGATTTATTTATTGTGTGCAGGAAGTTCATAGTATCTATTTATTAAATTTCATGTTTTTTCTTTTGATAATGGAGGCACTGACTTAGTACATATGTACTGCATTGCAGAAGGCTATAGAAATTACGAGGTCTTTTCTTTAACCATATTTCAACTGAAGTGGAATAGCTTCTATAGTGCTGGGCATAATTTTCGTTTGATATTCACTTTTTTTTGCCGTTTGTTTGATTTTATGTCATGTTAGAGATAATATGGCAGAAAATTTAGTAAATGTAATATAAAGGATTTGTCTTCCCTTGTCTGAAATTCAAATAAGGAAAAATATGGATTTTGGTGACTATCTGAGAAATGTTTTCATGTATAAACCATGCAGTCACCTGTATTGTAATCCTGGCAACCAAGATTTTTTCCCCCTAACATATCAAATTATCTGTTTTTGTATTTAGTGGTACATGTTTTATGATTGGATTTTTCTCTCAGTATTAGATTTCAGTATGATAGATAAACATATTTTCTACCTATTCAATCAATATGTAATTTACCATTATTTGAGATTCTGAAGGTCAGCAGCCCTCTAATGTTGGGTGACAGTAGACAGATAGAGTTTCAGACATGGAGGGTTATATTTTTTTTCCTTTGTTCTCATTACTGAATATATAGCTGACGGTATATTAATTTCTGTCATCAATATTATTAATATATGTTCAAACACTATCTGTTTTCTGTTATCTTTACTTTTAACTGACAATATAGATATTGATATTCTTCTGGAAAATATGAGAAAAGCAACTTCCTATTGATATGAGAAAGAATAATTTTTTGTCTCTTGCTCTTTATTAAAATGATGCATTTCCCAGCAAAACCTTGGCTGAATATGATGTTGTTTCTAAATACTCAAGTAACACAGAAAATTGAATTTTTTTCCAAAACTATTCTTTTCTTTGCTGTCTTTTTGGAGGTTGTTTCTATTTTTAATTTTCAATTTTGATTCACTAAACATGTTGGCATACAAACATGTAACATAATATGAGAAGTACAGTGTGTTAAGTACTTAAATGGCGAAAATTTTTTTTTTTTTTTTACTGTTTAAGTCTGCACAAAATTTTTCTCCATTTTAAATTTGCCCAGACACAGTTCTGTTAAAGAGATAATGCTGTTTTCTTTGAATTCGCCCACTTTTAAATTCACTCACTTGCCACAAGAAATAAAATGGGGGAAATTTCCCTGTATACAGTATATTTGGACATGTACAACTATGATTTTGAAAATGCATGTAATATATTGAAAATATTGAAAGTATATTTCTTTTTTTGATAGACATATTGTTGGAATTGTTGACATATAGGGTATGTAATTTTGTCATATGACAGCCAGTGTTGTAATAACTTATAATAGGTTTCATTTGTTTTTAATTCTCTCTCCACATCTTATGGTGTGAATTACATGTAAAACACAACTCAGTTTACAATTTTCATTTGATGTGTAATATGGAATACATCATGCCTGAGATTGGTTAATAAAAAATGAATGTGATGAAAATAATCGTGTCTCTTTATTTTCTGTATTATCACTCTGATTCGTTGAATCATGCATTTTGTTGATTGCATTCTCTTTCATCCAGTTCATGAAGTTTTGGATTTAACAGCTAAATTATTGTCCCCTGCTTTTGTGAAAGAGAGGGAACATTAAATCTCATTCATCTGTCAGTCTGTCTGTCAGTCAGTCTGTCACAAATACTTTAACCTTGGTCATAACTTTTAAATGAGAAAAGCTAGGTCTATCATATTTCACATGTACATTACCTATGACAAGACCTTTCCAAATATACTATGCTTTTTTATGCCCGCCTTCGAAGAAGGGAGGGCATATTGCTTTGCTGCTGTCGGTCAATCTGTCTGTCTGTCGGTCCACCAACAGTTTCCCTTCATTTTCTTTGCAGAGGTCGCACATGCTGAAATGAAATTTTGTATACAGATTTATCATAAAAATATCTAGGTCAAGTTCTGTTTTGGGTACGATTGAGCAATTTTTGACAGAGTTATGTCCCTTGGACTTAGAAATATTCCAATTATTTGGGGGGGGGGGGGGGATAAGTGTTTCACAAACATTTCTTGCTGACCTTGTGACCTTAAAGTTTAACCTCATTTTCAAAAATTTTGAAATGACTTTAACATTGCATGGTCATAACTTTTGAATGAGAAGAAATAGGGGTTTTATATTTCACATGTAAGTTGCCTGTGACAATACTTTTCCAAATATACTCTGATTTTTAACCATGTGACGTTGACCTCATTTTCAAAAAAAATTAACATTGATTACCGGTATAACTTTCGAATTAGAGAAGGTAGGAGATTCATATTTGATAAGTACATTACCTGTGACTAGGCATAGAATAAACATGCTATGATTTTTTTACCCTGTGACCTTGAAGTTTGACCTAATTTTCAAAAATTTCAAAATAACTTTTACCTTGTTCACCATAAGCAGGTGATGTTGGAATATTGCTACATAAATAAGGAAAGTTTACGATAGAAAAGCTGAAGTCATCCCGTTTGTCAGTTTAGTTATTAGAAGGCCATTATCATCTATAGTCAGTAAACATCCAAATATGAAACAGATGTGGCAGACTCTGTAGCCCCTTTTATTTCGAGTCAATGCAAAGGCGTTTAGATCACTTTAGTCCGACGACAAAATTGGGGGTATATTTTTTTTATACCCCCAATTTTGTCAGTCGGATTAAATCAATCTAAAGGCCTGTGGTTCACTGGGATACATTGAGTCGACATATGAATGAAAGTAACTATTGTAACATTGATAACACGTCATTGATATATCTTAATGTTGAGTTGAAGGCTACAGCAATCTTGAGTTTTCTTCTTCTGATAAGATGAAGAAGTTTTTGAATAAAGTCTACTTCACAAGAATATATAAAACAGGTCAGTTAATAAAAGAGAGGCCATTGTAATATGGATATTGTGCTGGTTATTCTCTCTACTGCACTGGCACATACAAGCAAGTTTCTAAGTCGTAGCTGATTACCAGACTAAATACCGTTTTTTTCTGCGTATCATGATAACTTTGAAAATATGCCAAAACACTGTTATTTTTTGAGTGGTCCTATTTTTGCGATTGTCCCAATGGTTTAAGGAACAAGTTTATTTGAGTTTAAATTTTTCTAAAAATGCTGGCAAAGAAAACAAATATGACGTGTTATACGGTATTTTGTAGATCCACACGAGCACCTGTGACGGTACATTTTGCCGTTATGTACATATTGTCGCCAGATATTTTTTTCAGCCACAATCAGATCCTCGATGCTCCTTTTTTAACGATATGTCGCCTCGTAAGCGACATATCGTTAAAAAAGGAGCATCGAGGATCTGATTTTAATCAGATTGTTTCAGCCATAGCGCAAAAATGCATAATGCCCAAATATAGAGATTCTGACTCCTGCGATGGGCCCCAGGGGAGGATTTCATAACACATTTTGATGGATCGTAAGAGAATGATTTATTCTATCAGTTGTTAAAATCACAAATCTGTCTTTATTCTGTCTAATTTTATAGATACTCAGATATGCAACAGGCATATGGGTTTCATGGAAGCATTTTCCCGGATTTCTATACCCTTCAAAGTTTGCCCGGTATGTCTTTTGCGCATACCTTTTCTTTGTCTGACCCCTGCGCCACGACCTTTAGTGTATGATCGATCCCGATCTTCAATCTGTAGTACATTAAACATCGATACAGTGATTCATATTTCTTCATAATTTTTTCCAGGACCCCCCCCCCCCCCTTTGTGATGAACATTCTCAATAATCTTCGGTCGCCAAAAGGATATCTGCCTATCGTTTGTCGGTCGTACTGTACATATTGACCAGTTGACACTGTGCCGAGATGTTTTGTTTTTTTTCTCCCTGTAGAATGGGTGACAAAATGTACCCTACGTACTGGTACATATTGTGGCCTGCAACGATGTATGCTGCGAAAATATTCTGTCACCAAAAGCTTTGTTTGAAGAATATTTCACTGGGGTAGGAGATAGAAATAGAGAAAAAATTATGGTATTTGAAATTAATTTTATTAATCGTATTTATTGTGTCATTCTTTCTCTTTAAAGTCAGTGCAACATGAATTTTAAAAAAAGTAGGCTATTCAAATTTCTGTCGCACGAGTTGGGCTTTTAGTGTATATTAGGGAAGAGGGTGGCACTTTATCATGTATAACATATATAACAAAGTTTATGGAAATAAATTATATATTTTTATATTTCCAAAAACTGTGTTATTGAGTTATTAAACTTAATTTTAATTAAATTGTATTCGTACCTGGACCAAATGGTTTTGAAATTGTGTTTGTCAGATTTATGTTTTTCAGAATATGATAATTTACAAATGCCGAAATTTTGGTCTCTCTACGGAGTTTGTTTGTTTGTTTGGTGTGTTTTGTTTTATGTTTTCATTGCAAGACCCTGAACGAATGTGAGGGGGGGGGATGGAGAAAATTACCTTCTGTCTGTATATGTGTGTTAGAACAAAGGTGACTCGGGCTGAGCGCAGCGGATTATGACATCTTAATTTTTTTTTTTAAATATTAAATATAAAGGGATATGACTCTTGTATCCTTATATTATTGATCATCAAGGGGAAATAATGCATCTCCCTCAAAAGTTGTTTGTTTAGTTGTTTTTTATTGTTTATTATGCGGACAGTGAAGTAACTGTGTTTAGTATTTAGATATAAATTTACTAACACTCTAACTTTAGTTACACCCAAGCATTATAGATATAGAATTCAGCTTAAGCTTGAAACTATTTGGTGTTTCAAAACATTATTTGAACCAAAATAAAAAATAATACTAAGGAAAAGGCGATGGGTACACACCCTTCTGTAAATAGGTAGTTTCCCCTACGAACTATGATCAAAATGTTTATGTTCTTAAGGAAAAATTGGGTGTGTTCTTTTTGGAACACCGAAAATGGATTATTTTGTTAGCCGAAATAGCTTGCCCACGCCGGTGTGGGAGTCAAGTATGTAAGATATCAAAAGAAAATTTAAAAGATATGACAAGCTTGATCGATCGGTTACACCTTTATCAAAACCATTCACTGCATTTCCCACAGCGATTTATCAATGATAAAGTATTAATAACGATTGCTCATCCATTAAAATACATATAGATATGCATTTGTATATATATTTTGTATAAGAATGCGACGAAAATCAAGCCGTGTTCGTGGGGGATGTTTGATCTGTCATCTGAGGAATTTACATAACGTTAAGTTTCCAAAAACCAGGAATGAGTCTTAAAACAAAAACAAAAAAGTGACGAAGTCACTCACGTGATCTCCATGATTCGTTAGATGATAGATTTTGCATTAAATAATTTCAAAATTGTGTTATATAATGCACAGTTACTTGAAGTTAAGTATATATTCTTATCACAAAAAAATATATATATATAACCCCCTACCAAATAAATCCTACACTGTAGTGATGCACGTCATGCGTCTGTTGTATAATTTGGTTATAAATATCTGATGAATAATGGAAAAAATGAAGGAAAAAAAAAGTGTTTAGATTTCCATCAAACAGTTTCACCCAAACGTTCAAATTTAGATATACAATGTACTTCAATATTTTGACGAAGAGGAAAAAAAGGCCAACATCGTTAAAAAATAAACCCGTTATTTTCAAACTAGGCAAGAAAAATTGACTTTTTTGAACCACATTTATCTAAATATGTATATAAAGTGATCCCCTCTCTCACGTAAAAACAACAGTGTTTGATATTGCTCGTGGGTAGTGATCAGGTCACCCTCTTATTTTAATAGATATTTTGTGTACAATTCACAGATCTGCAGTCACAGTAAGCTACTTGGTGACATGTACGTGACTACTCTAATCTGACATTGGTGAAGATCTTTGCACTTAGCTTTAAATGAGCTTAGTATTGTATCCGATATTTTGCCACTTTTGGAAGCTCGCACGATAATTAAGCTTAACAGGCAAAGGGTGGACAAATCAGGAATGAGCTGACATTATTTGACGAGCATCACACCTTTTATAACACGAAACTATTCTTATTTTCAGAAATATTATCCTCGTGTATAGGAAAACAATATAACTACGCGTGTTTGAAGTGATTTGCTTGTTAAGATTTTAGCAAAGACGTGAATATTCTCTTCAAAAAATAAATCAATAAAAGAAAAAAAAATGGATTAACGAATAAAAACAAAAAGAATACAGCAAGCAGCCATATTCGTTGTCAAGTATGAGTATTAGACGTGTGCATTGGATTTAACAAGAGGCCACTGGGCCACAACGCTCATTTGGTCAATATGGCCCTGTTTTTCATCAGCAGATTTGTTTTCCCTATATACATGTATTACCATGTAAAACTTAAACCCCCCATTGTGGTCCTACTCTACCCCCAGAGGTCATGATTAATTTTGAATAAGCCTGAATCTACATTACATGAGGATGCTTTTCAACATACACAACCATCCCCCACGATAAATTTAAGTCCAGGCTTTTTGATATC